TTTTCTTTCATGTGATTCCACTTTGAGGCTAACTAGGTTTAATAAGTGGGTACCCCTAAGCGTACGCTAAATAAACTACTCACTTGCATACCTAACACAACCTTATGATTTCAGTACTAACCTTTTCTCACCCAAGTGTCCTCCAAAATGTGATGGGGATTAATGCGTTTTATGGCCTCACAAACGCGGCTTTTTATGCTTCTTTTGTTTACCAGCAACTGATATAGGCCATCTGAAAAAACAGGGATAGGGACTAGGAAATCACTTACGCGATTGCGGCAGAAATATCTCATATTGTAGCTCTGAGATTCTCCCCCATCAGAGTTGAATAACCGTGCCTTAAGGTCTTGTATCATTTCTCGTTCGCTGGAAATTGGCAACCTCAGGTTTCTGTCCTCAGACGTCGGGCTTCTATCTTTCAGTTTTCTGTCCTGTAACTGTTGACTTATGAAATACTGTTCCTGGTTCCAATCACTTACAACCACTTTCGCTTCAAAAACAGAATAGACACTTACTTGGAACCTGTCTCTCCTTCCAAACTCAACCCAAAAGTTTTGTCGACTCCGAGACCAAGTCGGAACCTTTAACCATAAAAGCCGATTAGGACGGTCCATTCGGGCCGGAAAACTTATATATATCTGGAAACCTCCATTTCCGATGAAGAACTGATATCAACGGGCAATGGTTGCCCAGTTGATGTAGGTGTTGACAGGTCTACTGTCGATGGGGGCCAGTTGAGATGATCCTTGAAATGTCCTACCCTTCATTCAAGAAGATGCTGCTGAGCAGGAATCAGTGCACTGCAAGACTCCTTAATTACCTCGCACCTACTTTCCTTATGCCCGTACTCCTAATTGAGCGAGGCAGATAGCAACTTTTACCAATTGCATCAACCTTTTTCATCCCTCTACATTTATCTACCCATCACTTCTCGCTGTCATTCTTCTCGCTCTTGGTGAGTTTGTGTTTAAGGGATTTGGTATTATGAGAAATAGATCTTCAGGTATCATACAAGGCAGTTAAAGTAGAGATCTTTCTTTTGTGCTCTAATCGTGCACCGGAATCCGTCGTTGCCTCAGTCGATATTTGGGTAGCTGCTTTGATTTATGCCCAATGTTCATTGAGTCCTTCGGCGATTAGTTGAACTGGAAGGCGCTGAGAGGGGGCCGGTTTGCAAACGTTTTACATTGTGTTGTGAATGTTCGTTTCCGGTAGCTTCTGTAGTTCTTTTACTGGTGCAGGTATGATCTGGCTCGTAACAGCACGGTCTGTATTCGCGGGTGTTCACTAGTGAGAGTGGTAATCCTGAATGGGTCTCCACCAGCGATGTATCATGGTAATATGATCGATTTGGGTTCATGGCTGTGAAGAAGCAGGTAGTTTCCAAATTTGACGGTGTCGTTTTTAGTGCGAGAAGTTGATCCTCACTAGGTACGAACCGTGGTCTGCGCAGAGTTGAAGTAGCCGATCTCCATTGTCCGTTCGGTTGGCTGGGGTTGCATGTAAGCCCGCTGGGAACCTCCCTTAATCCTTCAAGGATCCAACCTGAGCATTCAGAGTGTCATCGACTACCACGATATCTGTTTACCAAATATTTAGGTGTAGTTGAGAAAGATCCCTATAAAATACATCCTTTATTTCGGGTCAACTGGAATCAGTCGGTGCACGCACGGACTTGAATAAGTACTTGAGCTTCATTCAGTAGCTATTGATCTGTACGCAACCGTCGTGGCGAACAGCGTGCAGTCGTCCACTGACTGGGATCCAAGAAGTGAGAGCTCAGCTTTGACAGCTGGCGCAATGTCAACACCAACAACACCACTAGCTTCGGATACCGAACCGCCTGACACACGGAGAGTGAAGCATGAGGATGAGGTTGAATCTTGACAGCGCGAGGTGATAGTTGAAGCATACGTCTAAATAAAAACTTTCAGGGGTTCTAGCTAAGGCTTGGTCGGTCTGACAATGTGTGCGGACATTGTATGCATCTCAGCCAGACGGAGATTTTGGTTTCAACAATGCAATAGCGTGTCGCTGGTTTTCTTTCGAGTTGAACGTTGAATGATATTCTTACAATGTTAGTAACAGGAAACACGTCGTATGATTTTGGAGTGAGAAGACAGATGAAAAATAGGTTTTTCGAGGTAAGTGCCCGAGATTTCAGGGCATGACATACTTCGCGTTATCCCACACCGACGGAGGGGTCTTTTTTTGGGAACCAAAACCGCAGCTTTGGACGAAAAAGCTTGACCCGCAAGGTATCGGGAACTAGATCCGACACAACCGAAGAAACTATATATGCTTAAGAGAATAGAAATTTACCATCGATTCATTTGCTGTTCTAACAAAATGAAAACGTTGACATGAAACGTTACCGATTCAAATAGTCTCGATGAAGGGCAACGGTTTCAGTCGCAGTACTTTTGAACAACCTGATTGTTTATCAGAACCTATCAACTAAATCAAGTAATCACTATTTTTCACCAAAATATGGTGTTCATGTGATGCTTTTCATATCATGCGAGCATAGTTGCGACCATAACAGAGTGCAGTAAACGTCACGTGAATAGAAACAATTCTCAGACTTTTGACTTACAATCCTGAGTCCAACGCCCAACACGTTCATACTGATATTACACCTTATCCCATCAAGCCTCAGCCAAAACCCGCAATGCTTTAGCCAAAACCCTTAGTTCTTTAGCCTCAACGCACAAACTTAAGTCACGCCGCAGTAGACGAGTCAGATCAAAAGTATCGGAATATTCTGAAATCAACGGATGTTGAAAAAATTATTTCTACAAATGTTAATGCTGTAAAGCTTGGTTAAGAAATAAGGTGTGGGGTTTGCATGCTGCAACACATGTCGATTGGAGAAGATTTAACCGATGTGCCCGTATCGTCAAATCATTTGACACATCTCGCACAGCGTCAGTGTTTCTGTATTATAACACGCGATACTCGTAGCAGTAAAAATCTCAAATGTAACTCCAACGATACGTTGTTTTGCATCCACACGCCCTGAAATAAATCAGAAGGTATATATTTACCGTTTCGTATATCCATTTAAAGGGAACTCTGTTTTTGACATATGGATACATTAAAAGGTCGAGGATAATAAACACTGCTCACAAAAGACCTCCTTGGAACACCGTTTCCCAAGAAGCTATAGACAAAACCCGGTAATAACCGGGCCTCAACCGTTTTCAGCTCAGTTTGAACAACCATTAACCATGCACTTTCGTGCGCCGGTTTAGGTTGCTGTCTTTTGGCTGCCCATTTGAATGAACAATAGCAGAAGAAAGGAACGTTGAAAATGGAGTCAAACAGAAAATGGAGAAGTTCAGTGGTCTGAGTTTGCAAAGAAATTGAGAAGATGCAAGAACGCCACTGTTTACGACACCCAGCCATATCGCTCAGTGTCTCTAACCAT